GTGTGAAAAAATATTTTTAAAATTTAAAAAAAAATTTTTTTTTTTTTTTTTTTTTTTTTTTTTTTTTTTTTTTTTTTTGTATAGAAATAAAAGTGCTGTAATTATACACAATTAATTATTTCACTGATTTTTTAATTATATTTTATCTATTAAAAAGTTGCTATATACGCAGCATCATTATTGAAATTAATTTCATTATTATTATATTCTCGAGTATTATTTATTACTTTACATACGCATGTTATAATATGGAATGTTTATTTTTCCTAAATGAAGAAAATATCAAACTTAAAGACAAATCTCTTAAAGATACTCTACTCCTATCAACTTCATAATTTATCTTATCTCTCTCTCTCTCTCTCTCTCTCTCTCTCTCTCTCTAACTGTAAATTCTTCACAATGTAACGAATTGATATTTATAAGCGTATATTTTATTATTTTGCCAACGGAACCGAATCACAACGAGTATTTCGCCGATTCTAAAAATCTTACGTTAATATTTCAGACCAGAATCAGTCGTAACGTATTCAACCCTTCACTAACCAATACGTCAATTGTGGTTTGATAAAGACGTAAATTAACGCCAACGAGCCACTTGGCTCATGATTCAGTAGGTTGAGAATTTTTAGCTGCGCCCGTTCGCCGCCTTTACGAATTCTGCGACCGAAGACTTGCAACAGCACTTCCACAACTATCGTCACGCATCGCCGTTTCCACGAATTCGATCGCATTTAGCTCCTTTTTCGCTGACAATTATTTATTCTTACCATTCGCCACTCGAAAACATTGTTGAACGTTTAATATTCTTTGCATCGCAATGCAAAGGCATTTGTGCTGTAGGTTTGTAGATTCGATTCTGAAAAGTTTTTATGGGGATATTTGTATTCCGCAATGACGACTCGATCGGGAAAGGGCTTGAATTTTTGGAATTATCCTTATTATCCTTATTTCAAGGTCAATAAAAAAAATGGCAATTTACGACATGAGCTATTCGCGTGAATGTGGCCGATCGACATTGTGTATTTTCAACGAAACATTCATTCGCTCGTTACGAGACGAAATTTTCACTACAATTTACAGTTAAGCAATGCTCGGTAAAATGTTTATCTTAAAATTATTCGTTTAACGTATCGCAAAGTTGTCGACTCTTTGATCAAATTCGAAATAATACTTATTGTTCAATAATTTTTTAAACAAAGGATTATTCATAACATTGGCATACGATAGGCACAAATAATTTTGTATTCAGTGCTTTTGGAAGAGCATTTAAGTATGGAATTTTAAAAATTGATAAATATACGGTAATGTAAGAACCACTGCATAGTGCGACGATGGTAAATTAAATTCCCTTTTATGGGATTTGTGTTAACTTTTAATATACACATTTTTATCTTCTTCTTAAATAACAAAATGTTGTAAAATTCAATTTTTATCCCAAGATAATAGAGAATGAATCGTATTAAAAATTTGAAACAAGATTAATATGAATTTATCTTGCGAATAACGATAATGTTGAAGTTCGAAGCATAAAAGCTAAAGTTTAATAACAGTTTATGCTTTTCAACAATTTTACATTAGAATTTATAGAACGAAGGATAAAAATTATCTTCGTTGCCTCTCGACATTGAATCCATCGACATTGCAGTGATGTGACGAATGTTGGCCATCAAAGTGAAAATTTCATATAACAACTTTACCTTAATAAGTATTTAGCAATTAAATGCGAAGGAAATCCCTCGTAGCAATATTCTACGAAAATTTAATGTCTTTATGTCTGTTAGATGAATTGTCCCGGTAGTAGAATCATGAAAAGCCTCACAACAACAGTAATTTCAAGAATTATGTCAAAATTAAATTTCATATAAATAAAAGATTGTTTAATTTTTTATAATGATTTTAAATAGGCAAACCCATCCGATAATGCTCATTCAATGTTTAATATTAACTTTGCGCACACAATTACGATAATATTACACTGTAATATTGTTGATGATAATTTCATTAAAAATTTTATATTCTCAAATATTATATTCGTATCGGCGTATCGGCATATCGTATCGTTTTAATATAAAATCAATAGTCTTATAATAATATTTTTATGACGAATTGATATTGTCTTATAATAATTATTGCGATTTGTCATTGACCCCAACTTTATCCAATATAGATAGACCGCATTATACTTACTGTCTTTATCTATAAGCATATAAAGGGATAAAAATAGATAGAACAAAGTTCGCAGACGAGCAATATAATTGCGTACAAAATATTTTAAATTACACCGTCGACGTTGTAAGTAAATACTACTTTTAATTCTTCAATTATTTGCAACAACAATATTTTTACGCGAAATCAACGTAATGACTTGCTATGTTATCCATTAAAATATGTATTACCAACAATACATTTTACACTATTATTTATTCAATAACATTTTAAATGAAATTTTCGAGCAAACTACTTCATTTAATGATATAACTTTTTTTTTCATTTTTTTTTCTTTTTCTTTAATTTGTAAAGAACATGGAATGTGCTTATTGTATATGAAATTTTGCATGTAATGAATAAAATATTTTTATGAATTTCCAATCTAATTATTTTTTATCGTCGTCCAAAGTTAAACATATATAGTTAAAAAGAAAATAGAATAAACTCACGCAACGCCTAATAATAATCCAAATAATAAACTACAAAATCGAAGTAATTTGAAGTAATAGCAATTGTAGATAACAAAAAATAATTTTCACTACTCTGCCCATTAATGCCAAATTGCCTTATAAATTATGCATTATTTAAAAGGAATAAAAATGATAGATTTGTGGTATCAATTTGATGATTAGAATGAAAAATAAACATACATATACTTTAAAAAATTTTTTTTTAATCCTCTTTATCTTGAGAATTTTCTACGCTACAGTTCATTGTGAAGTTTTTGATTTTTGTCTTTTACGACGATTGCAATTGATGTAGAATACCGAGCGATTTCGAGCATCGGTGAAACGAGCATCCACTGCGCATGTGAACATTATCGTTCTATAATTGTATCGCAGAATTTGATATTCGCGGGCACGTCGCTTTCAAGGTTTGGTGGGCTGGTCAGCCACCAAAGTTCCATTAGCTTTTGCGAAGTTTGGGATTCGATGGATCATAAGATACGAGTTTCGGATTACAAACTCATGGATCTGGTGGATTAGTTGTTGGCTTATACTGTCGATAAAATTGGTAGGCATAATCAGTTGGAAGTTTCAGCTTATCGAGATTACCAAAGTGTTGAGTATTAATTTAAAGTAATTTAAAAATAATGTACGCTTAGCTCGTACACAAATTGAATATATAATTAAACTTTTGATGCAAAGCAAAGATACATTGTTATATTGTAAATATTTGTATTCTTATATATTTTATAATCTTAACAATAGTTATTGGCCAATGTATTTTCAGATTTGCAGACCCATAGATACTTTAAGCTGTTTTATGCTTTGCGAGCAATTTTATTTTCGATATAAATACACACCTTATTATGTTTTAAATATTATTTTATTGATTAAATAAACGTATATTAACATTATTATTAATGTATTTAAAAAATGTTTACAGGCATAGATATAATCTTTAAGAAGTCTTAATTTTTACTGTACAATAACATTTTTCTAACACATGATTTACCATCGGTAGTTTCAATATTTCATATATATATATATATATATATATATGAAATAAATATATGAATTTTTTTTATATATATAGTAAAATACAGTGTTTACTATTTTGAATAAATTGTTAACAATAATAACATAAAAGTAAATGCGTTATGCCGACTTTTTCGATTTATATCGCAACAAGCGATAAATAAGTGGCGTACAACGACGAAACGCATGTTTTAACGGGAATAATAATAAGATGATCAAAAAGATCAACGTTCGTTAAGATTTAGGAATACGTATGTAGAAAATGTTGAGTATGTAAAGTGTGTAGAAAAAGAGCTTAACAAGTAAACAAATATTATTGAATTAAAATTGGCATAAAATATAATGAAATAATGGAAGGAAGCACGAGGATGGGAGCGCGCACGACAATTGAAACGATGAACAATCGTACCGTGTTGCAATGGTAAATTGGAATGATTTTTAAAAACATAGCAAAAAAAAAAAAAAAAAAAAAGAGAAAAAAAAGAAAAAAAATCAGCTCTCTTATCGGATTGAAATTTACGTTAAGATTTTTTGAGAGTGTCGACATGTGAATACAAGTGGAGAAATTGTTTGAAAAAATTGGAAAGTAGGGATTGTAGGCGATTTCATGGGCATAAGTATATGAACAAATATACAAACTATTGATATTTCATTGTCAGATTTCTCGACATAAATTACTCGCTCGATTTCAATAATCGAATCCATTTAATTACTTTATTGCAATTATTTTATTTGAAAATCCCTATTATTCGTTACAAGTGGTATAATTGCTATACTATTTTTGGCTTCGGGAATCCGCCACCATCTTCCCAATTTATGTTCTTGTCCAATTGCAGCAACGAGATACTTTCCATCAGACGTAAAAATAAGGGAATTAATAAACCCATTTATGCTTATATCAAATAAAGGATGCAAACTTCTAAATGACTCTCCGCACTTCCATAGTTTTATCACACCATTTTTAGAACCTACAACAGAGGCAAAATATCTAAATTAAAAATTATCAATTCTATTATCGTCTACTATTTCAGAACTTTTACTTTTGTTGATACAAATCAACTAATATTATACATTAGTGTTTAATGGGAGCAAAAAAATTTTATTCACAATTTTCTTATCAATTTAATTAATTCTTTATAGATAAATTAGCTTTTGTGAAAGGCTATTTTTCAAGGGATTACTGAATAATTTATACAATTAAATATTTAATATTAAATTTTAGTTAACAAGGATTACTAAATCGATTCTCTCTTATTTCAATTCGAAAATAATCAATTTTTGATACTTTAAATTTAAATTATTCTTTTTATGTTATGTCTCGGTAACAAATAATTTAATCATTCCATGCACTCGTCATTACTTGTGATCTTATCAGATATATTTTGTTTTAAATATTTAATTATAAAATTTTTATTATATTTATTATCACACGTGTGTAGGTATAAAAAATAATACTCAAATATTTTTTACTATTAAACCAACCTGAAGCAACTAAATCTGTATTTAAGAATGTAGCAATGCTAGATATCCAATGGGGTAAACTATTAATTTCATCCCTTCCATGGGCTTCGGATACACTGCATAATGGTTTTTTTTTTAAACAACCCCAAACGCACAATTGTCCGTCATCTCCACAACTTAAAAAGTTTTCCTCGTTAATTAATTTTACAGCATCTATACTACCACCATGTGCATTAAAAATTAATTGTGATTCTTCAACAATTTTCCATATTCTCACTGTTCCGTCGAATCCACCACTGGTAATGGCTCTTTCACGCGATAAAGAGTCGATCGAAGTTATTCCACTTTGATGTCCAAAGAGAGTATCGACATAGGCCATCTCATCTAAATTCCATATTTTCACACATCGATCCAAGGATGCTGAGTACAGTGTATGCGTATGCATTCTAAATACTAATCCTGAGACTATATCTCTGTGACCCTGCAAGTCTTTTATGTGACTTAAATCTAATGCTGAAAAGACTTTTATATTTTTCGAATCATCAGCACCTACGACCTAAATAAAATTACGATGTAAATTTACAATTAACAGATGGGATGTAAAGTTAGTGAAAAAATTATTCGTACTGACCAGAAACTTATTATCTGTACTAACTGCCATACACCGTATACTAGACATCCCTGCTGTACTTTTACTTTTACCCTTTAGTGATTTTAATTTTTGTCTATCATGCAGCGACCCTTTTAACGACAAACACATGATAAACATATAATATGATAAATTTTTAATTAATTAAACTTTATAAAATTCCTTGCTCTTACATTTTACTAAACTACCATCTTTAGATCCAGAATATAAGAATTGCCCATTACTAGAGAGACAAATACACGTAATTGAATTTTTATGATCTTTACACCGAAGAATGAATGGTGTATCGTGTCCTACATATGTATCAGCAATTATTTTCCTTAAGCGACCTTTCTCCTCTAGGTAATCTTGTTTTAATCGTTTTGTTATAGCTCCTTCTTCAAAGTCCGCTCTATCTCTTTCTAAAATACAAAATGAAATTTAATTTGAGAATCTTAATTTGTTATAGACATACACGCGCGCGCGCACGCGCGCGCGCACACACACACACACACACACACACACACACACATTCTTTAACGTTATATATAAAATTTTATGTTTTCTTATATTAAATTATATACCTTCTTCTTCTATTTCTTCTAAATATTTTTTAGCTAATCTAAGGCGTTTTTCCTGGGCTGTTTCTTCATCTTCATCTTCCGAACTACTATCCAAATTTCTGTTATCCCTACAATGATTTACTTACATATAAAGCGTGAAACCAATTATATATAAATAAAAAATATCAATAAAATATAAAGAATGAAAACCTTTCTTCCTCTTCAGCAATTTCTTCATCTGTACTACCAATGCTTTCATTATCATTAGCGTGCTTTTTGAAACTTCTTTTTTTTCCCTTTGATCCTTGATTTTTAGAATCCTTATGTTTCAATCCATTTACCTATTACAATTAAGTATTTGAATATTTGAAAAATTTTTTAAAATAAGAAAATATTTGTATTCTTATACAATATAATTAATATTAATACATTGGATATACAACGATTGTTGAAAAGTAATTAATATTATAACAACAATTTATGTATGAACATGAATTTATAATATATATATATATATATATATATATATATATATATATATATATATATGTATGTATGTATTTAAAAAATTGCTGTAAAATAAATATAAATGCATAAATACAATTCGTTTAACTGATAAATTTACTGAAAAATATATAACTGCCTAATCTCGATTTTAACCTAAAACTTTATTAAATCGGATTATAGAATATTAAATTACAGTAATAAGAGATTAACAATTACCTTTCGTGTAAAACCCTTATTATCATGTTGATTTCTGATAAAAAACGACATTTTCCTCACAATTTAAATAAATATAAAAAAATATTTTTATTAAAGTATATTACAGAGAACACATGGCTTTCGAATATTTTTAAGCGTCAAAATGTATTCATAATACTGCGCATGCGTATCAATATATTTGGAAGTAAGGCAGCTGAACACTGAAATGCTTCAAATTCGTTGTGAATTTGATTAATTTCGTTAATTTTGTCCTTCAACAGTGTTGTTGGCAAATTTAAAAATTCACAATGAGCTTTGTATCTTTATGTTATCCGTAGACAATAACAGAACATGCAGAAGAATACGCCAAAAAAGAAACGCGTTCTCATGGTTTGTTTTGGTGAGTGTTTAATTAATTAAATTTTAAAAGAGTTAAAAATTTGAATGTCCCGTAATAATGATAATTAATTAAAGATTTTTTTTTTTGTTTAAATAATGGAATTTGGTATTTGAAAAGACTAGACTTTTTCCTACAAATTACCATAATATGTTTGAATTTGTGAGAAATGTCAAATTAAGGAGAATATGCATTTTAGGCAATACTTGTCGATCGCCAATTGCCGAAGCTGTTTTTCGAAAATATATTACGGATAATAATATCACAAACGATTGGGAAGTTGATAGTGCAGCATTATTTGGATATCACGAGGGGAAAAGTATTAATACAAAATCCATTGAAGTTCTTAAAAAAAATGGAATCACCGACTATTATCACGTGGCTCGAATTGTAAGTTATATTTTTGCAAGCAAAATAAATGAACATATATATAGAGATATTGAATAGGTAAAGACATAAAAATGTTCGATGTTATACATTCGTTGATATATCTCTCTTGTAAGATAAAAAAGGATGACTTTGATACTTTCGACTGGATTTTCGGAATGGATGATTCCAATATTGAACATTTGGGCCGAATACAACCACAAGGGAGTGCAGCTAAAATTGAACTTTTAGGTCAATATGATCCAGAGGGGGAAGTCATCATTGAAGATCCATATTTTGTAAATTTACTAGCGAATTAATTAAAGTGTAAAGATCTTAGGATTACGCTTTTATACTCTTCCTTATTGCAGGATACTAATCTCTATAGATTCGAAAAAGCTTATCAACAATGCTTAAGAAGCATTCCAATATTTGTTAAAATATGGCAATAATAAGTTTTATCATGAAGTTCTGTAGTGAATAAATCGATATAATTGTGTATCATTAAATAATGATTTGCTTCGTATTTCCAAGAATAATTTATTTAAAATTTATTTCCGAAATTCATAATTTAACGAATTGTACAAACACATATTAGCTTATGATTTAATTTATACAATTTAAATATCATAAATTTTATTTTTAATTAACATTTATATTTATTGATTTTTTCTTTTTTCTTTTTTTCTTTCACATAAATTTCTGCTTTCTAATCTGTGCAATAATCCGTGAAAATTATATTGATTTTGTAATAATAATTTTAATTAAACCGAAGATGATTTCCATTAATCTGGCTATATAATATAATTAGTTAGGTGGGAGTGGATCATTTGATTTTCACGTAACTTTTTCTTTTTTCTTTGTGCAAAGAATATAAGAGATATAAGGAATTTAATTTTCATTACTCTATTTTATTAATGTAATGACAAAAAAAAAAAAGAAAAAAAAAAGAAAGAAATAATTACATAGTTAATACGGTGCAGCTATATTAAAGGGGTTAAAAACCTCGCTTACCTTTGAGCTTCTCAGCTCCTCGATATATCGATTTATTGGGACCAATTCTAAAATAATCACACCTATAATCAGTATTGAATTTTAAGCCCTCAAAGACACTTTATTCTAAAGAGTTCGTGCTCTTCTGTGCAATTTAATATACCGCGTCTTGACCCCGATCTCGATTCTTTATAGAAAATGAAAATAAATAGCTGACATTAGATTTCTTCGATTTGCCTATTTATTTTTTATTAAGCCTTGCCAATCCAACTTCAACATTATCTTGCCAATTATACTTTTTATATGAGGCCATTATACTTGTTATAGCATTGAACGTTCACTTTAAGTTCGACTGCATAAGCCGTAATAAGTAGATGTTGATATGAGATTTCACGTCGAGCTTCAATGCTGGGGCCTCGTTAATTTCTGCCATAATCATTCGTCCCTCTCTCTCTCTCTCTCTCTCTCTCTCTCTCTCTCTCTCTCTCTCTTTGCGTGTGCGTGTGTTTGTGTGTGTATGTTCGCGCGTGTACTTTAAGTATATAAATGGCGATTTTAAGGTCCCATCTCGTCCTCAACAGCCGTATCGTAGCTTACAATGACCTCGACTTCTTCCTACAATACCTGACTGACTTCACGTCCAATATCTCAGGATTCAGCGATGATTGTACCGTAATCGGCATATTTTAGTCAAAAAGTATGCGAACATCGTACGCTTTATCCAATTGGCTTTGAACTGTGAGAATTAAAAATTCACTCTCTTATTAATAAAAACGTATCTCAATTATACAATCCTTTCAATAAACAGTCTATAATTACCATACGCATCTCTTTTATTTTTATTAAAATTCTTCCACAATCTACTGCATTCTCAATTTCATATTTATAAATCTTCTTATAATCTGCTTAACGATAAAATATACGTTCGCACTTTTAACGTTCCATTCAATCATCAAACTTTTTCTAAAGATAATGTTTTAACGGTACCAAAGGGCTTACAATATGCGCAATACTTTTATATCTACAGACTATGGGTTATCGCTGATTAGATTTTATATTAATTGTTCGTGCTTTTTTTTATTGGCTACATTGGCATCCACGAATCATTTAATAAGTTTAATTGTTTCGCTACTTTACCGGGCTTGCGTATATCACGCTTGCATGTATTTCGCTTACCGCACGATGTTTGATGATTTTTCAAGAATCGATAACTCTTATCTCATGGCTTTTAACTATCGAGCCATTAAACATCGACGGATAGTCAGTCACCTTTTCAGAGCTGCACGACGTAAGATTCAACGACACACAACCTACCACAACGTCGTGACACCGCTTTCTCTCTCTCTCTCTCTCTCTCTCTCGATTTCACCCTCTAGTCCATACATACAATGAAATAGAATAATCCTTTGTACATTTTTTAAAATCTGATTTTTATTTATTTATTGCATTTACCTTTATAATTCATGCATTTATATATGTACATATGTTATTGATATATAAATTATACATTTTCGAGTATTATCTGACTTATATCAAAGAACTATCTATTGATGGTAGCATATGATTAGGCAAAATCACTAAATTCGCTCTAAGCGATTGTGATAATTGTAGGACTTTACATATTAGATTTGTAGCTTACGAAACTTTCTCTTTATAATGAACTTTTACGTTACTCAAGTTCAATTACAAAGAATTGCATTTACGTGCGCGTGCGCATTAAGTATGATATATATGCATATATATAGCCATGTTTAATTTCAAGGTTAGAATGCACAAAATTTTGACACTACAAAACAAATTCTTTGCAATAAATTAATAGAAGCTACGCATATCATAATAATGATTTTTTTTTTTTAATAACTGAGATAAAAGTGAGGAAAAAAGAGATTCAATAAATAAAATTGTCAAAGCCGTGTAACATTATAATATAACATTATATGTTGTATATTATATCTTGAATATAATATTCTGTTGTATATTATAAGGTAAATGAAAAACACGATAAAATCATTATATAAAAAATCTAATTTATCTCGTAAAAACATTTAAAAATCTTGACTATTAGGAATGAACGATTGAGTTTACATTTTTAACTAAATAGCTGTGAATTTTTATAATTAAACATTAAACATTTATTATTATTATTATTATTAATAATATATTGCACATACGAACTGAAATGAATTAATAAACAATATTGTTGTTTGTCAAAGAATTTTTAGTTACATCAATTCAAAGTATCGTAACAGTAATAAAAAAAAAAAAAAAATTTGAAAAAATTTTGTGATCTAGTGAGAAATAAATAAACTAGAATATTTCTATTTGATTTAAACATTACGTATACATGATTACATGCAAGATTTAGAAATTTTCGGACATTCAAACAGCTGTAGGTGCTAATAAAAAAGAAAAAAATACAGAGCTATTTAAACTTTTAAATTCTGTTTACTTATGCTATTTAAATAAAATAAGAAAATCCAAAAGACAAAAAAATAAAAAAATAAAAAAATTAAAATTAAAAAACAAAGTGGTCGCATAAGGAGAAAAGATTTGTTTTTTGCATTAGAATATGATAGCATTCGTCGCAATCACTCGGTCGTATTTTAGAAAATTAAAATAAAAAATTTTAAGATGCCAGGCCAGTGAAAGCATCCTCTTATTCCTAAAAGAAAACTCTAATCTCATCATTTTCTATTTAGACGTTTATCTTATGATCTTTCATCGACTTAAATGGCTTTGATTTTCTTTAACAGCAAGCGTAATCTATAATTTTATTATCTACATCAACGGCTATTCATTCTTACAGCTCCACAACCACGTTATTTCATATGTAACTAAATAATATATACTTGTCCTTGTTTATAAGTATTCTTGGCAAATGGTCATTGTGCATGCTTAATAATAGCAAGGGGAACAACTCGAGTATAAGGGACATAAAAATCGTTTGACCGATGGCCCGATTGTAATAAATTATTTTATTCGTAAACCTTGTTGGCCAACGCCTCGCAATTTCATTAATAATTCATTTGGTATTAATGCCACTACACTAGAGACGCCCAATTACCATACGAACTTCGGCCCCGAGCGAAAAAAAACTATTATAATCGCATGCGCGAGGCATAAAATACATTGTGGCACCCGGGCTGCTCGAAAACACAGACTCATTGCCTCCTCCTCCACCCCCCCCCACCCCCTTCTCCGCCAATCGCATAACCTTTGAGGCGAATCTATTTTATACTTGCGCGACAAGCTCGACAGCCTCTATCCTCCACCTTATCGCCCAATTCGAATAAAACGAAGTGCGAGAAAGTCGAACGCCAAAGCATATTTTGGACGTGGACGGACGCTGCCGCGTCGCTACGACGCGCACACGCGCACGCACACATGAACGGACGCACGGGCATGCGCAGGCGATTTCGAGTGTTTGGTCGCCCTCGCGTTTCAACCGTCGACGTCCCGCGTCGTCGTCCCGGAGCCTGGCGCGGCACATGTACGCCTCGCGGGCCGAGCACCCTCGCCGCCGCCGTCGTTGTCATTGCCAATGACCCCGATGAGTGGAAGAAGGACTATCGTTGTCCGAGCGAGTCGTGCACGACCCGCAGCCGAAGTCGTCGTAGCTTCGAGGCCCGGAACCGGGTCCACGACCCTCGCCTCCCAGCTCCTACTGGCGATTTAAAGAAGCCCGGTAGTGCCAAGACGAGGTGGTGCGGAGGCATATGTTAAGCCGCGTGCGGGCCAATTGAGTGGAAGAGGACGAGGAGGAGTTGGAGGGTGGGAGGGAGGAGAGAGAATGCACGTTGCCCGTTCAGCATAGAGAAAGGGTAGAAGATGATCGGAGGAGGTTATCCTTGCGTAGGAGAAGCCGACGGCGAGCATCCGGTCGTGTGAGGGAGCCGCAGCCGTCGAGGAGAGCGCCGTCCGACCTCGAATGCCTCGTTTGTCATTGGGCTCTGTTGGTGTCTTGGTCGAGGGCGAGGACGACTCGCGCGATGCCGGTCGCCACCGTCACCGCCGCCGCCGCCGCCGTCGCCGCCGCCGTCGTCACCGCTTCCGTCGCCGACAGGCGCGGTCATCTTCTTCGTAGAGTTCGCCGTCGCCGCTGATCGGGCACCAGCCGCCCCACGTCTGGCCGTTGTCCGGGCCCTCCCAGCCGTGCCTCTTCTCGACTCCACGAACGATGAATAGCGGCGCAATAATGACGGCGATAGCGACCCCGTCGGTCGACCTCGCCGGCTCCGACGACTGGACCGAATTCTGCGAAAGGCACGCGAGAGCCGCAGCCTCCGACTTCGCCAAGGCCTTCTGCACCTACGTTAATTTGGATCTGACCGAGAGCGCCAGGGCGAATCTCTCGTACAAGGACTTTCTCAGGAAATTCGTCGAGACCTTCTGCGATCACTTCGAGGTGGAGTACCTCAGACGCACCGCCAAGTACGTGACGCTCCCAACGTGTCTGCACTATTATTATTTAATTGCATCGTAGTAGGAATTCTTACATTTAATTGTCGAAGCAACTCGTCTCGTATGCACCTTGCTGTTGGCTTACTTATCTCTCTAAGACCATTAAAACTCTGCTACTTTGCGATAATGAAACTCACCGATCTCTCTGTGCCAAATGCTTATCGCACCACAGGTTTTAATCATTTTTGTGCGACGATGGTAACAACAAATACCAATAAATTAGAGTACAATAATTTATGGCATTAACGTTTTACTAGTTGCAGCATAAAATCTTAATTATTATCTACTCTTACTCTCCTGGAACAAAAAATTTATTGACTATTTAGTGGCTATAGTGGTTAAATTTTATAAACATTGGATTAGCAAGAGCAGTAAGCATTTGAAACTAAAAATACTATAATTAATTATTGTTATAACGTTTAGTTTTGTTTATCTATAGTTGCTTAAGGCTAAAGGCCAACCAAAAAATACAGCGCTTAATTAATTTTAATAAAATTAACTTTTAAGTTACGTATCTCTATTTTTCATTAAGTCAGCCTAGCAGATTAGAATGTAGATTAGTAGAATAATAAAAAAGAGCTTTTGCCTATTTATATAGAATTGTTAATTTCTAATTGGCTTACTCGACGAACATCGTGTATTAGGAGTCATTAAATTCACTTGTAGCTCACTTACCAATTATTCCACTTTCAGACATGACAGAATATAAATGGATAAGCTCGCAACAGTCTGTAACTTGTAAATTGTAGGGTCATTAAACCGTACGCTTTATTATAGTTTTCCAGATGTCTTCTAAAGGGAAGTCAATCGCTTTGATTATTTGATTTTGATTTATATTCTTGTAATTTAAGCAACAAATAAGACTAAAATTTAATCGAATAAGAAAAAACTAGTATTAATAAATCTTAATACAACCTTGAGTATAAATTTCAAATGATTTTTCAAACTGTTTCGCGTGTATTAAGATTTTAATTCCTAAAGGTTCTCTTTCAATATTGATTTTTGCAATTAATCTTGTACATTTTTAAAATATAATATCCAACTAGATTTTTACAATAAGTATTCCCTGTTGTCTTTCTTACATCCCCCCCCCCCGCCTCTTCCAATGGAATACTACATAAATTTCTCTAAATTTATTCAAACAATCAAATAAGTGTATAATGAATATAAGTGCTTCGAATATAATTCAATCAAATAAATTTGAATTATCAAATGTAATTGTATAATATTCTAAATAATAAGATGTCAAAAAAGTAAATTGTTTCATTGTCGTCTAGCAATTCTTCATTGCGTAAGCTTTGTAGTGAATTTGCATTGTAACATTTTAAAGTTTAAATTAAAAAATAAGATGATTAATTTTTAAAATTGATCCAGACTGTAAAAGACGAGTATTATTCCATTAATGTAATTGAACGCCAAATTTAGTTTCAGTCTAAGGTTTAAAAATTTAAATAATTTAATGCCCGCTCGGCTGTCATGTTTGCAACGTTAGACTTTTATGTACTTGGAGGTTTTCTGTATCTTGGAAAGGAGATTATGCGAACTTATCATACAGTCTATGTGATTTGGTTGCTAAAATTCTATATTATAATAATCCAGTGTATATTTATGCATCTCGACTAAAATAATATAATTGCTATAAATTTTTAGCTTTTTAAAATATCTATGATCATTATAAATTATGTTGTAACGAGTTCTGTAATTATTTATCGATTAGATCTCCATCTGCCCATGATGTTAACACACGACAATTAGTATCCAACGATCGCGAGGCTAGTTCTACGAATCAAAACAATAGAATACCACTTCGTACTTCCTCGCACGAGGAATTCAGTGACTATTCCGAACACGATGGTGAAATAGTGTCTGCAAAACCTGTGCACAAGGCTTTCTTTCGACGTCTGTCGTTCAAGGGTCTCAAGAAGGGTAAGGGCCTGTTTCACAAACAACAGAGCGACGAGGTGGAGCTTTCGCACTCTGATAATCGACGAATGGACAAACATTCCAAAGCTAAACTGTCCAAGATTGTCGTCGAGTGCAGAAAAGAAGGGACTGTGAATGCAATGGTTATTGAAAATACAGATGTGCCTCAAAAGTTTGAAAAGTGTAGACTGGCGTTGGTCAAAGCCAGCGCTGGTTACATGCTAGAATTCTACTCTTCTTCGAAAGCAAAACCTCGTCACGGTATATTCTGCTCGTCCATTACTGAAGCTCGGGAGACGACGGCTTTGGAAATGCCCGATCATGAGAACACATTTGTCTTGAAGACTCTCGAGAGGGAATTTATAATAGAGGCGCGAGACCCGAGCGACATGAGGTCATGGTTGGCCACTATTAGGTACTGCATGAGGAACATCTATGGACTAACGAATATTATAAACAGCGGCGTTAACGACTCGGTAATGAATGACAGCATGATGCATGGATCGGCATCATTGAATATGGAAGGTGACAGGGTGAGGGCTAATTCAGCGAGCAAGAGCACACGCTCTACGCTGGATCATGTGGACGAGCAGGGAAATCCACCGGAGCTCCCTCCAAGACTCAGAGCTCGAAGTAACAGTAATTTAGAATTGTGCTCCTCTCAACAGGAAATTGAACAAAGTAAGCTCGCTCTGCTGCTTTAGCAGCAACTTATTTTTCTATTCTAATCCTATCTCCAAGTATTCCAAAAATACTTCACGAAGGATAATTTACTTTTATTGATCTGCACCTTTATTGATCTACACACACCTTCGATTATCATAATTAAGTATAGTAATTAATAGATGTTAAAAATACTTACTCCTGACTTCTATTACGTTCTAAGCAGTTCCTGGTAATGAAATTGAGGTCGACCTTTCGAATAGCCTTAGAGAATATCCGTGGTTTCATGGAACACTTCCTCGATCCGATGCTGCGCAGCTTGTTTTGCATAATGCAACAGAGGGTCATGGGACGTTCTTAGTACGACAAAGTGAAACACGTAAAGGAGAGTATGTTTTAACCTTCAATTTTCAGGGTAGAGCCAAGGTAATTAAGAATTTATTAATATATAATTTTTTTTTATTTCTGTATTCGTAGGCATCCTGTGATTAAGCCAATAGTAATAGATTAAATTCTGTCGGTTCTCTAAATTTTAGTTGACTGTAAATTCTAGTCTCCTAGTGCTTATGTTTAAATTAATGCGCAAATAAAAGTATTTGTTTGGAAATTTTTACCGTCTTTTCCATTTAAAAGGATAAAGAAAAAAAAAGAAAAAAAAAATAAAAGGCAAAACAATAAACCAATCCATACTTCAAACGACTGATTTTAATTTTAATTATATTTTACTATTATTTCTTAATTATTCTACCAATGAGAAAAATTGTATTATATATATCGATCGTCAAGGATCGTCAAGGATCGTCAAGGATTTTTATTCCGAGTAGCTACTAACGTCACTTAAGTTCTGTAACGCTATTACTATAAATGTCGACTGTTTATCAATTATATGATGACATATTATTCGCTATTTATGAAAATTTTGTCAATTCGTTTGCTCATCCAGTGTTTTGTATATAACGAATTTATAAATAAGTTCAACTATTTATAATACTTTTAAGAACGCATTTTCCCATCTAAAAACTCTTCAGCATCTACGGATGACTCTGAACGATCAAGGACATTGCCGAGTACAACACCTCTGCTTCCCGGCGATCTACGACATGCTCGATCACTTCCGTCAGAACCCCATACCCCTGGAGTCTGGTGGGACGGCCGACGTTAAGCTTACCGAATACGTCGTGGCCAATCAACTAATACGCAATGCACCAGGAGCATCCGTCTCGAACAACCAGCAACACCAGCATCATCATCATCAGCAGCAACAGCAACAGCAACAGCAACAGCAACAGCAACAAGATAGAAGGCCCGTAGCCGCACCGGATCCAAGAGAAGTAAGAGTCAGCAGCGGAAGTCTAACTCCCCTCGAGTGAGTGCCGATAATGCGAGGTGCTCGGCAAACTCTCTGTTGATCTCTTTCTCCCACAGTCAGAAGTCTTGGTTTGACACGGACAGTGAGTAGATAAAACAAAGCTAAAAACGATGTCGTGCAATCGAAAGTTCAACCTATCCGATCCACACAATCAATAATTAATTAATTAATTAATGGCAATGGCCATCTCGCTCGTTTATCGTCAGCTTATTACCATCTTTATTATAATGCGAAATAATCGTGATTATTTATTAAGACGATACCTCCCTTTCAACAATTGTGCCAAATCTGAATAATAAAACACGTTTCAATCGTAGCGAAGCTTATTATTTTTTTTGTTTTTTTTTTTGTTTTTTTGTTTTGTTTTGTTTTTGTTTTTTTGTTTTGTTTTTTTTTTTTTTTTTTTGTTGTTTTTTTTTGATTTTTTTTTTGTTTTTTTTTTGTTTTTTTTTGATTTTTTTTTTGTTTTTTTTTTGTTTTTTTTTGATTTTTTTTTTGTTTTTTTTTTGTTTTTGTTTTGTTTTGGATTTTCGAATTTAATTTAATTTAATTGCTTATTAGGTACTTTTACCTTTAAAGTCTATCGGTTTTCACGAGTGATGTCTCTCGAGGAAATTGCTAAGCCAACGAACATACACGGCGAACAAATCATAAGGAATTGTACTACTATCTATCATATAATATTACAAAAGTTAATTAACTCTATCTAATTAATTATCAGCGCACGTTATTACTTGTCCAAATAGCTTTATATTCTAATTGAAATAAGCTGAGATTTTTTAAGCTTCAAGTTAATTTATCAACAAAGGAAAGTTGGATTTTTTCTTTAAAGACGACTTATTCGTCCAAGCTATCGTGATTTTTATGAAATTATTGCTGTTCGAGTATATTAATATTATTAAATTAAAATGTTCAAAATTTATTAAAAAACGCTATAAATAATTTTATTTGCTCACGACTAATCTAATCGATCTTGTCGGTGAATAATTTACCGTAATCAACATTATTATAGTTACCAAATTTCAACATTTATCATTAATTTAAACATTCATAATCATTCGCCTTTAGTTGTCATTGTTCGTCGATCAGTAAAATCAATTAATACACGAGTTGTTATTAAATCGATCGAGCGATCCGAATGCATTTGCTTTTACTGTTTTAATTCTTAATGTTCTTCGCAAACCTACTGTACTTGATAGATTAAATTATATTAGAAGATATAATTATTATTTTAATTATTGAATGAATAATAGTTTTATTATGAGTGAGTATTTGCAATTAATTTCATCGAGAGACGTTAATGTTTTTATCTCTGAAATAGTATTTGCAATTTTTTGTTTAGTGACGTAATTGTCGATTCAAATTATTTTGTAGCCATTTATCGAGGGCAAGAAATTTTTCGTTCATTAATTAACGTTAAATAATTTTCAATTTTCAAAAGAATTTCCACTTGCAATAAGATGTAAAAAAACAATGTCGCTTGAAAATTAATTTAATCCGAGCAATTTGTTGTGAGCAATTTGTTTTTCCTCCGGGATTCCAAATGATTGAAAATATTATCTGCTAAAAAATATCTCTCGATACTCGGAGAGTTTCGGATATTCGGATATTCGATTACATTACGTTAATATGCATATGTTAATGCAAAAGGAAAACAAATGGAAAACGATTGAGCTTTAAAGACTAGGAGGAGAGGCTTTTATTTTTGTAAACGATTTCATTAATTACAATTGTCATATGCCAATGCAATTATAAAGACTGACAATTTGATAATTCGAAAGCTAATTAATGCATAACGCGTTACACGAAGGACCTTCGCGATGTCGTCCGTTGCACATATTTATTAATTAAACCCACGCGAAAACATAAACAAACATAAGAAATCCCCAAGAAAGCCCGACACTCTGATAAAATAGCTTACCTAATAATTTACGAAAAGTGTAGCGAATTCTCGGTACTTCTAATGCCCCGAAGTTAAAGATTGACGAATCTAAATTAGGACCTGTTGTTTCTGATGCAGGTGCACACATACAGTGGCTCGATAAGAATGCGGACCGAGTTGCTGGAGCAACTCGAGCAACATCATCACCAGCAGCAAAGCGGTACGAGCGTTGAACAACAACAGCAACAGCAACAGTCATCGACTAGTAGAGCTGTTCAGAATACCTACAGTTTCCTTTGACGTTGGATGCGCAAAACCTTGTCTACCGGCTACCACCCGGTCGGCCATCCAGACTGACGATTTCCATCCAACGGGACGCATCGGCGCACACGAAACACATACGCATGCACGCATTATTACAATGTAAAATCTCGGAGACGAATTTGCGCCGGAGCTCATTGTTTCTTTGTCACCAATTATCCCTTCGTTTACTTTCCGAGGTTATGTCATTTCCGAGTAATCCCTAACATTATAAACTAATAATAATATTAACTATTTGCCAATAATCGCTATCTGACGAAGGATTAAATAAAAATTACGGCAGGACTATTTGTTTAAAATGCTTGTGAAAGATTTGAATATTTTGAAATTTTAATGCTTCAATTCGTTATTTATATTCAATGTGATTTCTTCCGGAAAAGTTGTTTTGTATTTGAAAAAGAGAATCAAATTTTTATGTGCTGCTATGATACGGCCAATTCTTATTTCCGGAAAGTGATAGAAAATCCAGAAGTTACAATATATTTAATCGTCTTTTCTAATTATTGCATGGATATAGCAACTTGATTATCGCTCGATGCCCATTAATTGCTGAATTTTTATGTTTTAGTCTTAAATTAAACGAATTATAAAATTCAACTTTTTGCTTTTGTAAAATGCTTTTTACATAGGCTCTGGAAGGTTTTATAGCTGTTGCAATGAAATGATAGTAATTTTTAACTTTCCTTAGGTATTGTTGTAGACAATTGTATATTTCTTTTAAACATTAATGAATTTATGCATAATTTGCTGTCGTAAAGACATAAGCGTAACCATTAGGTATTTAACGTATCATACGCCAAGTGTCCGCTTTCGCGCTTTGATTACGTCAATTTATTAATGACATACTAAAGAAAGAGGCATATGCTTCGCTTCTTTATTAAAGCAAAAACAAAAATTCCTTATACGATTGCAAAATCAAAATCTTTGACTAAATATTCGATTGCTTTTTAATTATATATATATATATATATATATATATATATATATATATATATATATATATATAGCTTATATAATAAATATCGTTTACAAATATATTTTATAAATATGAAATAATTTAAAGTGGACGGGATAATAATGAACTATTAACATTATTTTAATGAGTAGGATTTATCGCTCCATTTTATGATTAAGTGCTTTTGTGATTATTGAGTTGTTGGTAACTAAACCGCAAATTCTTATTCTCAAGTGCCATCGCTCGATCAAGGCTTTCTTATCTCAGATTTATTTTTTAGCATACTTCAATAAAACCCTCTATTTATCCGATTAAATAGTCATTTTCTATTGGGTTTAAAATTGCATAATATTTGTCGCTTAGTATTTCACACCAATCTAATAATTATTGATAATTATTTCGTACCATGTAGTCATCATCTTTATATATATACATATTCTAATCTAACAAGTTCTAATCTAAGTGATGTCACAAGTAATCGAGTCATTAATAGAGTTTTATTGTATGTTACGAACAATTTTATTTGGACTTTATACAATTGATTAATCAACTTGCAAGTAATCTCGACAATGAGGATACTTTGTTATATATATATATATATATATATATATATATATATATATATATATATATTAACAGATCATTCCACTTTGAGGCGCAGTAAAATTACAAACTTTTTATCAAAAATTTTAAAGCAAATTGATACTTTAACTGAATTAAAATTCTCATATATTCTGAATATAAAGAAAGGAAAAAAGATTTTTATATTAAACATTATTAATTCAATGTAATTGTTTATTTTCAATAAATTAGTAAAGACTTTTTTGACAACTATTTTTTCCATTGCAAATATAATTTTGAAATATGCATAAGGATTATTAACATTATTAGAATTAAAAATCAAAACTAGAATAATATTCATACAATGACCAGAACTAATTAATTTTAATAACAAAAAATACGAAGAAAAAAAATAGGAGATTTTCAAAATAAAAGTATATTTTATACAAATTTTTTCCTATGTTTTTCTTTAACTGAACAATAGAAAATAAAGAATAAAATTCATGGACTCGAAAAAAATAGTTGTTCACATGCAAAATCAATTTATTCAAAATGATCGACTGTAGGAGCAATTAATTTGAAATAGAATTTAACTCTTCTTAGAAATTTACAATCTCATTCTTAAACGTCTGTCTACGAAATTAAAATGATAAATATACCAACTTATCCCTTATATCATTTTGCATACTCAAATCGCAAAATCGAACACTTAGGCTACGTACGTCATATAATCGACAAACTATATAGTAAAAACGAAACTTTCATGCGTAATAAAATAAAATGCCATAAATCAACAATGCAACTAAATAATTCAGGTGACTGTTCATTTATACGTAATTTTTAGTAATACGATACTATTTTATATACAAATATTTTGTTAATTAGATTCACCGAGGCCATAATTCTATATGGCTTTATACATAAAGTAACAAAGGAAACATATAGAAGACGTTTTTCTTCTGCGTTCATTCCTTTACACCGATTAGCTGATAATACAGCATATGTATTAAAAATTGTGAATTTATCAGCGTCGACTTTTACTATCTTACACACTCCTTCCTGCACTTAATTAAAAATGCCATTTATTGTTTAAAGTGCGTAGGAGGGCGGGGGATAGGGCGCAAATTGATCATTATGACTTTTAACAGACGGCTATTCAATGGATTTGAATAACCGTATAGTCATAAAATAAAATAATCTTTAAATTTGCTATCCTGTACAGTTTTAGTCTTTAGATATGCTAATTAATTTTTGCTATCGATATTAACAATGCTTTCATTAAATAATCACCAAGTTAGCTGGTATCGTCACTTTAATTACAGTAATCAGACGAGTACATTTGCTTTCACGAAATACTTCAATATCATAAAAAACATAAAATATAATTAAGTAATAATAAAACATTGGACAATATCTGTAGAAATATATTAGAGTCTAGATTTTTGTAAATATAATTCTGTAAAATTAGTCGGATTTTTTTTCGATTATACGATAAACATAACAGATGAATGAAAAATATTTTTTTTGTTTGTTTTTTTTTTTTTTTGCAGTTTTAACAAGACTTATTTTCCCATCAATGTTATACTTTGCAAGCTAAATATTTATTTTAGGGACAATTTCTTTCAAGTCATACTCTACGTGTCAATCATATATCAATCAAACATGCTCATAAACTTTTCTAATCAAATAGTGGAGACTGATATTTATCTATGCTAAATGTGATTTTCATTCTACATTATACATGTTGTTTAATTTTTTTTTTTTTTGTTTTATAATTTTTATTATTATTATTCATATTACTCCGTCTTAAAAAAATTTCCTATCTATTTTCATAATATGATCGACCTTAAACTCATTACCATTAAATGTGTTATATATTTAGATGTTTTAAATGTACATTATAATTTAATCGCCACATGCCTGGGTAACTTAACTAGCTAGATTCTTTAATCTCTATAGAGTATTTAATTCTATATAATATTTCGTACGTTAGCTGCCCTAATATATAATATTTAGTATATGGACAGGAATCACCATCAATCTAGCTAGTGACTAGTTGTACTAATTACAATTACGATCTTTACGTAATAAAGATTAGTCAATGTAAGATAGGCTTCGATCATATGGTAGTTTCGTAATATCTCGTATAAACCAAGTGAACTACTAATTGAATAATTAGTTTTATGAATTCTTATAATAAAAATGAACAATACGTATTATTATGTAAGAAAATGTCAAATGCTTAGATATTGGAGTGGATACATAGAATTGTCATGTGGGATCAAAATTTATTAGAGAACATAATGTTTTGTAATTTATTTTCTTAACGACGTCTCGGTGCAATACATGATTAAAAATTATAAGGATAGATGTTTAGACTAATTAGACGTATTTTGTCATTGTGTACGGATTTTCATTACCGTTGATTTGACGACCTTTTGTCGTGATAATAATGCCTCGGCTTTTATGGTCGGTGCTCGCGTTTTAGATTTTCGACAGATCGATCTTCAGCTCAGCCTTCAGGTCTGATAAAATCTTATGAATATATATATATATATATAGATTGCGCAACCTACGGATCGAATATTATTTAAAGTTTGTATATTCGCTATGAATTGAAGAATCTGTACATGGCCATTCTAAAACAAAAACAAACAAAAAAAAAAACAAAAAAAAAGAAAAGATGTTAGAAGCTAGATTAACGTCTTTATGCTAATGCCAGCCGGAAAAAAGTATGATTTATAATTGAGATTTTATCGATAGGAGGGTACATTGTATTCATAAATGTACTTAACATCTCATTCTTATTTTGTAATGATGGATGCACGCAACCCGTAAATATATCTATTTGCCAGTAGATTATGCCGTTTAGAGCAAAATATAGATCGTCATCTTGTGATTTATTTTTCGGTGATTCTTGTCCAAACCAATGTTAAAATATTTTTACACTTTTACATTTTTACATTTGCCAATGTCATAATTTATCCTCATTATTTGCAAATACATTATAACTAGTGTAACAACTATTATGGCCATGCTATCTTTAAATTCTAGTTCAATATCAAAAGGCTACGTCTTTTTAAAACTATCTTTTATATTATATACGTACGATAATTTAAAAAAAAAAAAAAAAAAAAAAAAAAAAAAAAAAAAAGTAACTCCAAGTCAGTGGTACTCTTAACAGTTTGCAAATAACGATAATTTACCGAATTAAATATTGTATTGTGTAATTTTTGGTATTGGTTTTAATTTAGTGATTTTAAATCGTGTAGTTTTCATGCTCCTCTCTATAAATATTATTTTTTTTTATTAAATATATGATAATTATTAAACATTTAATACCCCTAGAATTATGCTTCTATACTTTTTCATAGTTAATTTTAATATTGCAATGAATAATTATCGAACAGATACATCGATAAAATGAGACTTGTATAAAAACATCGTCAATTGCATTTTGATTTGCTTCTTTCATGAAAGCCTGTAGTTTTATTTTATAAACGCGGAGCTTAGAGATTTCCTCGACCAGTATTGATCTTCGAAACAGTAAATTAATTCATTTTCCCAGTATTTCTTTCTCATTTCATTCGTCGTTACTATTGAAATTCAATTATTTTCAATATTTCACCATTGGCAAATGCAATGGTAGGCTATTTATCTGGTAATTTCTTAATTATCATAATTTTGTTCTGAAATATTTTTTAAAAATATCGATAATATACTTAAATGTTTATATCAGTGGGAAAAATGTTTGAATACCTACAATTATAAATTTGACGACTAAATCCATCTAATGTAATTGCATTTTAGAAATATTTAATCGATTATTATATATATATATATATATATATATATATATATATATATATATATATATATGTATAAATTTACGACTTTTTATCTTTAATGATAAAGGTTTCATTTTAAATGTTGTAAAAGTCTCAGTCAAGCATCAATTGCATAGGAATATTTACTTAATAACGTTATAAACTATAATATTATATATCGGAATTAAAATTATGCTGTGCTACTAGCATTCCCAGTTTTATATATATATATATATATATATATGTGTGTGTGTGTGTGTGCGTGTGTGTGCGCGCGCGCCTGTGTACGTATGGGTGTACCATACCAGAATAATATGCGACAAAAGGGCCTTTGTGCCTTTGAAAGAAAATCTAATCAACTCGAACTGTAATTATTGTACAGTATGCTCATTTTTATAATATTGTAAAAAGAGAAAAAATTTTTTGCTTTCTTTTTTATGTTAATATTTTAATTTTAATGTGTACACGATTATTTTTCACGCGTATTTTACAATTTATTTATAAAATAATATAATATGAACATACTGTTGACAACATTCACTCTAAGATTAAAATGTAGATCTGTGCTAGTTACAAAGAGGAATAAAAGCACGTAATTTTTTGTTTAGTTCTATTGTGCTTGTTTCGTCAAATGTGTTATTATATAATAAGCAGCTATTTTTCGATTAGGGACTCTATATTAAGAATTGCGTATGTTTTATTTTTTAAGTATACTCATGCCTAACTTTTTTATTAGTAGAGCTGGAACAATGTAGTTTCGAGGTATGTTTAATTGAAAGCGAATCTTCATTTAATTAAATTTAAAGAGCGATTAAACTCATGCAATTTTCACGATTGTTCTAAAATGTAAATGATGCAATGTAATGTTCTTCCTTATGGTACTGCACAAAATTTCCGTTAGTAAATAGGATAGTTGTGTTTTAATGAAATATAATTTGAAATTGTAATTTATTTTCCTTTTTATTGTTAAATTTAATAGATTCCATCTTAATGTGTTCTTCAACGTTGTCACAGAGTGTAACACTTCTCTTTAAATATACTTAAATAATGCAAACATCGTGTACAGTATCATCTAGTCTAAATAAACTCAGCCTTTATAAAATTGTAGTTTTTACTTCTGTCCGCCAATAATTTATATATTTGTATTGTGAAATATTTATACAATGCATTTAATGTTAATTTATACTTAATTTGTACTATTATCATCATTATTATCATTATTATCATCATCATCATCATCATCATCATCATTAATAACTGGTGAAACCTGTAACATGCATATATTTTATTATTTGTTTAAATCGTCTTATATAAATATGTTCAAGAAGTTACATAAGTAGTTACATAATATTCTATAAAACAATTGACGTCATTGTCTGTTTTAATCATATATTGAAAACATAAAATGCCAGCTTCGTTGGTCCTTAAGGAAACTTTATTAGAGAAAGGTACGGCTTTCATTGCTCGCCCCATGTGTTTTAGCAAGTATTTTGATTTAGACTCTTTCTTACATTGAAAAGTCTCTATTAATTCGGTATTATGTGGAAGTTCAATATGACATTCACCAATAGTTCCTTTTGTACTTATCATAAAATAAGGCGATTTTGGTGATAGAAGCAGCTTGAAAAATATATTTTACATATAATTATTATAAAATATTAACGGAACAATTAAAATCATACAAAAGCGAATTTATCAATGCAAAATAATTTAGTACTTTTTGATTTTTATACATAACTCATATTGTATACGAGTAATTTTTTAGCTGAAGTTTGATATAAAAATTATTTTTCTTACCTCTAAATAAATACTACTGTTATCAAGTTCTGCGAAAATATCTTTCAACAATTCACTTTGTAAAAGAACCTTATTTACTACAGCTTCTGGATCTAAATCAAAGTCCAATATTTCGTCAGGATCATAACTTTTTAAAGAACAATCCACCACTATTCCATTTCTTTCAATAAGTATTCCCACGGGATAGCCAACACGCTATTAAAAGGTACAAAGTTTTACAATATTAATAACTCAACGATTTTTATCAAAGCTTTTATTTTAGATAAAAGAAATTCTAATTTATGATTAAATAATACTTTTAGACATATAATTATATGCTACTAATAATTGAAATTGAAAGTGAAACGAATACTATTTGTTCAATTTTAGGGTATAGCGATACTGAACTTTATACAATATGTGTAATAAAATAGGGTTGTCTGGGGTATATAAACGATACCCCAACATTGAAAGAGTCTCAATTAATGAATCTAAACATATTCGGAAAATGACGTCCTCTGTCAATATAAATTCTTCAAACAGTTGAACTGGTATGTAAGCACTGGCTTGCATACATTTTGCTTCTTCAACGGTAATTTTCATGCCATTTGCAGAGACACAAAATGTTGCATACTACAAAAATATATAAACAAATGTCATAGATGTTTCTTAAGCAATCTTTTTAAATGCTAATTAATTGTAACAAATTAAAAATAAATTTATTCCGCTGGTTTACAATATTACACCGATTGAAGTTAATGCACAAATTTGAATATTTCTACATTTCTGTTTATATCCACATTCTATTGTGTGTTTATCAATTAAATCAATAGTTATCTTAATATTAGATTTTATTGTAAATTAATTATTGTAAAATAAATTGGATAAACGCAAGTGAGAAACGAGAGATTGTTCCAAATTTTTGAAATTCGGTTTCTAATCAATATAAGTAGGGCGAATCAAAATTTTATTTCATTGTTTATTATTCATATATTATTACTATAAATATTGAAAATAAGAATTTTGAAAAGTGACATATAAATTTAATGCTATATAGTAAATTATTTTTATTATACCTCTTTAAAATTTACAGCTTTCAAGAGTTGAAGAACTATTTTGACATTACCTAATTTAGCCGTTAACTTATATTCACCGTCATTAATGATACTCATATCTAAAACGTCCTAATAATAATTCGCAGAATTTTTTCTCTGGTATAGTTTCGATGCTTAAGTGATTGCAAGTGATCGAAGCTAACCAAACTGCGAGTATATGCTTACATGTAAAAGTATTTTGTTCTTTAAGGACTTGAATTCTGAAAACGGGAAGAATATTAAAAAAATTAAATTGCTCAGGTGGTCTAAAATAAAAAAGATTTTTATTTACAAATGTAAATAAGTGAAATTTAGGAAAATTTCATACTCAAAAGCTAAGCAGGAGCAAAAGTTTATATTAGGAAAAATAGTATAAACTTCACTGCTCTGTCCCTCAACTTCAAAGAAACAAAAATCTTTCTGTTTCTTAATATTATGCTTCAATGGTTCTATGGTAAAAAGTGTTATCTTCCTTGCCTCGTATAATTCTAAGGCTCTTTCAAAAGTCGCTCCAAACATGCAACGTAACTTCAATAACGTGTCAGGTAAAACTGTGAATATATAATATAATGTTTATGTTATTTATAATATGTGGACATATTGTGTCCTAGATACGTAGATAAAACAAATATAATTTTGCCAACGAATCAATGTTTAACGAAATGGAATTCTATCTTTCATCCTAATTTGATTTTTGAAAGTCGATTTTATTGAAAAATTTGATTTACACGAATATTCGAGCAAACTGAACCTTCTGCGCAATGATAAAAAATAAAGACCAAATGTATTATTACATTTATTGTCTTTAGTATAATTTTCGGCAGCCTCTTTTAAAATATGACGCACAGCACTTTTAAAACAAATATTAATCGAGGCATTATCGTCGGCATTCATTTTTTCTCAACGTACATCCCACACATTTTGTTAAAACTTTATAAAAAAAAATACGGCGTCCACGTCGCTAAGAATGAAATAACAATTTGTTTGAAAATATTTTAGGATTAACCAAGAAATTTTGGTGCCAAAAATTTCGAATGATTACACGAAAATGTACATACTACACCGGTGCATAAATTGAAAAATGGCGTAAAAATGTCGTTGGTAGTCCAGGAACTTCTATCTATCCATTAAAATATTCGTTCAGAAAATATATATTCAAGTTTCGTTGTTTTTGTTTTTTTTTCGTTTTTTTGTCTTTCGTTTCTTGTTTATATATATATATATATATATATATATATATATGTATATATTGTTGTTGTTGTTGTTGTTGTGTTTTTGTAGTTTGCTAACCTTCGTTTTTAATCGATCAAAGTTACCCGCGTACGCTTTTCGGAGAGCAACAAATGGCGCGATATTTAAACGACATTTCACTATTCTCACGAGACTAGACAAGAATGTTCATCATCCTAATTTTGTTGAGCGAGGTGAAGCGAGGATAAGTTTCGATGGGTTACGACAATGATTGTTTGCTTTATATTATTAGCAATTAGATATCTTAGTCCACAATTTGTACGGGCAGCTACATTTTTTCGTAAAAGTCTTAAGGGTCGATAATGTAGGAATACGTCGTAACGATGTAGCGAATGCTAAAATTTTTTCACTCGTTGTGCCATCATGTAAAAACGCATACTACCAGATCAATAAAATGAAGGCGCATGAGGCGTCGCGGGAGGGGCGAGAGTGAGGGAATTTACAGTGCGTGTGGCTTGGCTGGTCGAGCGAGAGGGCGCGAGCGGGTGTTTGACGGTTCGACGATGAAAGGAGTGGCGAGGGGGTGAGAGAAAGAAAGAAAGAGAGAGAGAGAGAGAGAGAGAGAGAGAGAGATTGGGAGTGGGAGTGGAAGTGGGAGTGGAAGTGGGAGTGGGAGTGGGAGTGGGAGTGAGAGTTGGTGCGAGCGAGAGAGGAGTGAGGGATCGAGTGTACGAGGGAGGGAGGCCGTGACAATCGAAGAGCGATGAAGTAGACGTGAATATCGCAACTCTCCAGAGATTGTAGTGCGAATTCGTAGTATGTAAATTAGTTGTAGTGAGTGCATAATAATCGTGGTGATATCGTGGCGGAAGGTAGGAAGGAAGGAAGGAAGGGCGGGAGGGGGCGATGGCGCCAAGTGAGTAAAAGGAGTAAAGGAGTAAAACGTGAAAAGAGGGAAAAGAGTGGAAAGGCCGAGTGCGGTTGGAGCGACGTTCGAGCGACCTATTGCTCGAGCGTGGAACTGCGCTGTGACGAAGAGGCGAGAGAGAAAGAAAGGACGTCAGCGAAATAACAATGTGCCGTTGTGTTTGCTCGTTGTAATTGGCTGGAGAAGGAGACTCGGTATACGATAGCTCGAGTGTCCGGCTGTATTTATGCGGGGGAAGGGAAGAGAATAATCGGATCAGGTCGTCCGGGGGCTCCGGTGGTAAAACGGAGAGGGTCATCATTTCTGTCTGGCCTTAGCTCGGGGCGATGAGGGTCCGAGCGGGGAAGGCGCCGCGCGAGCCGTGAGTCAGCTGGTGCGTCCTCGAAGTGGTCTAGTGGGGTGTCGAGGGGTCGGGGCTGGCGACGTCGCCGAGAACTGGCGTGTTCGATCTGCAAAGATGACGAGCTGATCAAAGCCACGAGGGCCGTCGGCGGAGGTCAGCCGTCCAACGAGCGGCGCCCGAGTGTTTTTTATGAGGCGCGTGCGCGCGAGTGTTGGAGCGTTTAAGAGCGATTAAGCGAAGGAGCGAAGGAGCGAAGGAGCGAAGGAGCGAAGGAGCGAAGGAGCGAAGGAGCGAAAGAGCGAACGAGGAGGAAGAGAGCGAGCTACCGCGGAGCGGAAGGCACGAGGCGGATGTGCCCGTATCCGTGCGCTACGGGTGAAAGGTTCGTAGGCGGCTGGAGTGTCGTTCGTCAACTCGGGGCAGAGGCGCCCTGTCAAAATTTGCCCGGGTGTCGAGAGACCGATCGGGCTCTTTGGTCAGGAAGTAGGAGCGGTTTGGCGGAGTGAGTTCGATGCCGCAGGAAGCGTTATTGTAAGTCCTCGTAAGTCCCTTCTTCGTTTTTCTCTATCTCTACGCTAGTCTCCCCGCGCCC